GATCCCAAAGCCCACAGACAAGAGGACAGAGTAGACATAACAAAACCTCCAGAGACAACATCGCTTTGCTTAGTAAAATTCAAAGCATAGAGAAAGCACACGGGATAGACAGCGCCGCCAGTCAGAACACTGAGTGGAAGATTTCACCAACAGATAAGAAACAAGGAAACCTAGCTTGGCGTTTCTCACGCCTGTGTGGGGCTGCCAGGGGACATGTTCCTAGCCTGTGCTCATGGTTTCTGTCCTTAGCACTTTCCATCTGGTGAGTTCACCAGGGGCCAAGACAAGCTGAAATGACCCAAGCAATCCTCGGTGTAAAATATAGGCCAAGAAGCCGGGCGTTGGTGGCGCACGCCTTTAATCCCAGCAGGCAGGCAGGCAGATCTCTGTGAGTTCGAGGCCAGGCTGGACCAACAGCCTCCAAAACAGAGAAACCCTGTCTCGTAAAACCAATGTGTATATATATATGCCAAGTGACTGAGTGTGGAACAAGCCCTGTGCTTTGCCAAAGGGACGGAACCAAAAATGAAGTGGACTCAACTCAGGTCATAGTCTTGAACTTTCAGTGAAATGGACAGATACAAAATGATTGCAGTGGAATATTGTTAACAGTTTTTTTAAAACCAGCCACTGTTAGCTGGGCAGTGTTGGCGCATGCCTTGGATCCCAGCACTCGGGAGGCAGAGGCAGGCGGATCTCTGTGAGTTCGAGGCCAGCCTGGTCTACAGAGTGAGTTCCAGGACAGCCTCCAAAGCCACAGAGAAACCCTGTCTCAAAAAACCAAAAAAAAAAAAAAAAAGAAGAAGAAGAAGAAGAAGAAGAAGAAGAAGAAGAAGAAGAAGAAATAGAAAGGGAGAAAGAGGGAAGAAAAGAAAGGAAGGAAGGAAGATAGAGAGAGAGAAATGAAGGAAGGAAGGAAGGAAGGAAGGAAGGAAGGAAGGAAGGAAGGAAGGAAGGAAAAGGGAAAGGGGAAAGCCCCCTATGGGGCTTGCTGTCTTATCTGTTCCATGCGGCTCTGATGGTAGACAGTTTGCCTAGCATGCACATAAATCCTGGGTTTGATTCCCAACATTGTGAGTTCACACTTGTAATTCAGGCTTTTGGGAGGTAGAGGCAGGGGCATCAGGAGTTAATCTTCAGCTACATAACGAACTTGAGTCAGCCTGACCTACATGAGACACTGTTTCAAAACCAAGAGTGTCTGCTGTATGCAACTCTTCCTGCTCACTGCCTTGCTTCACGGCAACAGACACCATCAAAGCAGCAGAAGGGTGACACAGGGGAGGTGGGGAGGAAGTCGCTGTGTTGGAGCCCGAACATCACTCTTGATGCTTGAGAACAAGAGCACAGAGGTTTTAAGGAACCAGAGCCCCAGCCGGGCGTTGGTGGCGCACGCCTTTAATCCCAGCACTCGAGAGGCAGAGGTAGGCAGATCTCTGTGAGTTGAGGCCAGCCTGGTCTACAGAGAGAGTTCCAGGACAGCCTCCAAAGCAATACAGAGAAACCCTGTCTCGAAAAACCAAAAAAAAAAAAAAAAAAAGGAACCAGAGACCCACAGAGGGACACACTATAGCCCTGGAGGCCAGTCCTGGGCCTGAAGCCTGTACCTGGAATCTTTTTCATAGGTTGAGTGTCCACCATGGTCCCAGGTCATGGTTAGAGGGTCTCTCTGGATGCTGGCATTCCCCCATCCTCCAATCCTTGGCTCATATCATGGCTCATCACAGACAGGCTCCTTTGCTTAGTAGGCTCTGTCTAGCACAGTGGCTGAGTAGCACCATGTCAGCTGAAATGAACATCGATGCAGAGAACCATCCTGGGTGCCATTGCTTGTCCCATCCCTTAGGCTTCCCTGCTTGGGTGGAGGACATGATGGAAAGAATCAACGTACATGTATGTGATGCTTAAGTTTGTCAACTAGACACAACGTAGAATCACTCGGGAGAAGAGAGCCTTAGTGAGGAGGGGTTGACTACAGTGGGTTGGCCGTTGGGCATGTCTGTGGCAGACTGCCTTAATTAACTGATGTGGGAAGACGCAGCCCACTGTGGGCGGCACCATTCCCCGGGCAGGGGTCTCAAACAGCACAGAGTGGCAAAATTGGGCTTCGTAAGCAAGTAAGCAAGCAGGCACTCACGCACCCGTCTCTGCTTTCGATGGCGGGATGTAACGACTAGCTTCAAGCTCCTGCCACCTCGAGTACCCTGAAGTAACAGAACTGTGAGTTGAAACCTCTTCTCTCTTAAGCTGTGTTTGCCAGGGTGTTCACACAACAGCAGAAACCACAACTAGGACAAATGTGCTCTGTGGCAGGTGCTGAGATGCTTCCAGGTTTGATGCAATCCAAGAAGCCACCAAGTGGGACCACACTTGAGGAGTCCAAGGTGTATACAAGTGAGTTACTTTCTTGCCACCAATGATGAGAGAGAGGGAGGGGGAGACTGAACAAGTTTCCATCACAAAGTCTGCCCTATTAGTAGCGTCCTTAATTTTATTTTCTCCGAGAACTTGCTAGGCAGCTGTAACCTTGAACTTTGGATCCTGCAACCCCCACTTTTGAGTGTTAGGATTCCATGGGTGCCTGACCACAACCTGTTTTCTTTTAGTGATGGGGATGGAACCCAGGCCTCATGTATGCTGGGCAAATCAACTTTGCCACATCCTTGGTCCGGTGACCTGTTTTTTAACTTGGGGACACTGCAGATTCAGGAGTCCGGAGGGAGGGTCTAAGTTTGTGGGATGCTTCCTCAAACTTGGGAAAGCACCTATGGCTCTGGTGGTACACACCTTAAATCCCAGCACTTGGGAGGCAGAGGCAGGTGGCTCTCTGTGAGTTCGAGACCAGCATGGTTCTAGAGAGCTGGTTCCAGGACAGCCAAGGCTACACAAGGAATCCCCGTCTTGGGGGGAAAAAGGGTCTGCTTGGGATGGTATAGAATCTTCAGTGTGAGTTTCCAGATAGCTGAGGGGCAAGGGGCTGCTCTGACATTCAGGGGTTGGGACACTGTCACCTAGAGCCAGCTTGTTCCCCCTGACACACACACACCTGATTTTCTGCAGCCCCACGTGTGGTATTGTACCATAGCCTAGACAGATCCCTCATGGTGACTCAGAAGTGGTTTCAGAAAGTGACCGTTTATTTTTCACAGAAGAAAGAAATAAAGACCAAGACCATGGGAGACGGTTTGCTGTTCCTGTCACTTGACAGAAGACACAGGGCTGGTTAGGGGAATAGTAGAAACCCAGGCTCAGATCAGTGCTAAGCAATTTCATTTCGTGTAAACTGGAACTATCAAGAAACAAAAATGGGGGACTGGAGAGGTGGCTCAGCAGTTAAGAGCACTGACTGCTCTTCCAGAGGACCTGGGTTCGATTCTCAGTACCCACATGGCAGCTCACAACTGTCTCTTACTCCTTTTTCAAGGGATCTGATGCCCTCATACAGACATTTATGTAGGCAAAACACCAATGTATAAAAAATAAAAATAAATTATTAAAAAAAAAGAATCAGAGTAAGCCCCAGGTAGGCATGATAGTACACACCTACCTGCATCTTGGTACTTAGGATGATTTCTGGAGTCTATACCCTGCTTCAACAACACAAAACAAAACAAACAAACAAACAAACAAGAAACAAAAATGGACAGAGCAGCAAACAGAAGGTGACACTGGAGAGAAGCCTGGGGATGTGGCTCCGTCAGTGGAGAGTCTAACGTCTAACATGCATGAAGCCCTGGGTAAAATTGCACAGTGGTGCATGTTTGCAATCCCAGCTCTCAAGAAGCGAGGACAGGAGGATCAGAAATGAAAGGCTATCCTTGGCGACATGATGTACTCAAGGCCAGCTTGGGCTACATGGGACTTTTGTTTCAAAACAAAATAAAGCAAAAAACAAAACCAAAGGAGCCCGTGTAGATGGTTCAGTGGGTAAAAGCACTTGTCAGAAAGCATGAGGGCTAGAGTCTGGACCTCTAGGAGCCATGTACAAACTGGACGAGGTAGTGTGCATGAGTCTGTAACCCCAGGGTTCCTGTGGAGAGAGGGGAGGAGGAGACAGGAGAAGGCTTGGAAGCCTCCAGACCAGCTAGTCCACAGTGTGCCGTGCATGGCAAACAAGGGATCCTGTTTCAACCAAGGACGAAGGCAAGGACCAACACTCAAGCTTGTCTGACGTCTACATGTTATAGCATGAGTGTCTGCACATGAAGATGGTGGCACATGCTTGCACATCCCTCAATTTTAAAGTATAGGTTAGAAAAAGGGATCAGCTACCCTAATGTTCACCATTCAGATATAATCAAACTAATATTTTTTAAACAGAGTTACATGTAGCCCAAGCCTTGACCCCACTATGTAGCTGAGGAGAACCTTGGACTTGGATCCTGTCTCACTTCTTCAATGCTAGCTACTACAGGTGTGTACTAGCGTGCCTGGTTTTATGGAGTCCTAGAGGCAGAACCCAGTGCTTTCTGCATGTTAAACATGTTGTTTACCAACATAGCTACATCCCAGCCCCACATTAGCAGGGTTTCAAACACAAGCAGTATATTATATTTTATAAATCCTGCATGTTCCTAGACACTTAAGCAATCCTGAACAATGACACCCAACATGAACCTCTGTCCTGCACACATACATGCATCTGCATACATACATGAACACATAAACACACATCTGCATGCATACATGAACACACACATGTGCACACACACACACACACACACACACACACACGGTAAACCCTATTCATTTATGCAGAAAGACCATACCACCTACTTGGAGCAACTATTAATCATGTAGGTGGTTTGCGTAACTGCAGATGTCTTACCCAGTGGATAGCCTAGAGATTCAGAGACGGTCAAATAGGGTCAGAAAAGCAGCTGTTTGCTAGGACACTATCAACCTCAATCCAGTGACGTGGCTTCACCCAGCCTACTCAAGTCTAGTTGAGATTTAAGTCAGACCACGGTTTAATGAGAGCCCGATATTAACAACAGGACTTTACCTCTTGAGTACAAATTTTATTCAAGAGAAAGACATGATTGTTTCAAATCAAAAGAAGGGACATCATTCAAGTTTTGTTCCAACTCTGCACACCAGCTGTGCGTGTTCCTGCGATGTCCACTCCCTTCAGCCTTCCTGGCGGCCACAAGAGTCGGGGGTCAGGCACTGTCTCTACCACTTTAGAGATACCGGGAGAGTTCACACACCTCATAAATCCATCTTCCACTGTAGCAAGACAAGGGTGATCCATGCAGCCAGTGCAGGCCTGTGATCCTAGAGGCTCAGTCATCACAAGGGGTTCAGCCACGAGTCTTGACCAGATCGACCTGGGAAACGGCCACTGATGGCCAGGGACCTGCCAATAACTGGCCTGTCAACAAACTCCACTGTACACAGCTCTGAGGTCCCATCACCGCAGGGCGAGCGCTCCAGCTCCAGCACCGTGATGTTGTTTGGGGCGGAAGTCGTCAGGATGTGCCTCGGCACAAACAAGGTCACCTGTGGGCCCCGTGTGGGCCAGTATCGGCCAAGGTTAAAGCCGTTGATCCACACTTGACCCTGGAGAGACAGAGAGAGAAGCCATCAGCCAGGGAAACACTAGTAGCAGAAGGTGCAAGAGATGCCCCACAGAGCCGGTGGTGGTGGCACAAGCCTTTAATCCCAGCACTCAGGAGGCAGAGGCAGGCGGATCTCTGTGAGTTCGAGGCCGGGCTGGACCGACAGCCTCCAAAACAATACGGAGAAACCCTGTCTCGAAAAGTCAAAAAAAAAAAAAAAAAAAAAAGAGAGAGAGAGAGAGATGCCCCACAGAGTCGGGCTGAGGATCGGGGTCCCCTCAGTCTGCTACCTCATGTTAGGTGGGGAATGGGTGGGAAGAGTGGCAGAGATTGCCCCGAATGCCAATCTCCGACGCTTCAGTCCTGGAGCACACCTCGACACTTCCTGTGTTCCACCCTGGCTCCCAGGAACTGCCCGTCTGTAGAGCAGCCCTTGTCACGGCTGCCGCACCCTCCAGAAGGCGAGCCTCCCTGCTCTGTCTGCCCCACAGAGGCAGGGCTTAGCCACGTTGTCTGATGTGCAGAAAGCCCACAGTCTGAGATCTGTCCTCCAAACGACCCAAGATGGACGTGAGGGTGTGTGGGGCGGGTGCTACCTTCTCAGCACCTGAGAGGCTCACAGCAGGGCGTGGCCGGGAGTTTGAAGCCAGCCTGGGCAATACAGTGAGCTGAAGCCACAGAAAGGGAGAAGATGAGTATGAGTATGGGGGCCTATTCGGCAGAGTGTCTATGTCACCCTTGTGTTTGTGACTGTCATAGCTTTCCTCTCAGGGAAGCAGACAGAACGTCGTGTTTATGTCACTGTTGTGTTGGTGATTCTCAAAGCTTTCCTCTGACGGATACGGAGAGAACAGCATATCTATGTCACTGTTGTGCTCGTGGTTGTCATAGCTTTCCTCTGAGGGATGCAGAGAGGCCAGTGTGTCTACGTCGAGGATCAGATGGGATCCTACGAACTGGAGATACTTCCTGTGAGCAGGGAAGCTGCTTCACGAGCAAACAGGACCAGAGCTCAAGGAGTGTCAGATTTGATGGAACGCTCTGCTGAGGAGTTGGGGTGGTGGAGGTCACACATACCAGAGACAAGCAGGAAACCTGGGAGAGGAGGGAAGGAACAGAAGGAGAAGGCAGAGGGAGAGGCACGGCTACTTGTGGTGACCCCTCCTGTTCACTAATAATTTAAAAGCATTCATTAATATTTGCATAGTCTTCTATATAGCAAAGGCTGGCTTAAGCTCACTATATAGTCCAGATGACCCTTCCGCTTCTACCTCCCAAGTGCTGAGGTTACAAGGGTAATAAAGCTTCCCTTGGCTTTATTCCAGTCCACCTAAATTTCCTCCTTGGCTTCCCATCTTTTTTTTTTTTTTTTGGATGGGATTTCTCTTTGTAGCCATGGCTAGCAGCCTGGAACTCTGTACACCAGGCTGGCCTCGAACTCGCAGAGACCCACCTGTCTCTACCTCCCAAGTGCTGGGCTTAAAGGTGTGCGCCGCCGCCGCCCGGCTGGCCTGGCTTCCCATCTTATTCCTCCCACTTGGTAGCTGCCTGACCTCAGGCAGGTGTCCACTCCAGTTTTCACACCCCAGGGACAAGGACAACAGAGTCCACAGTCTGAGAATGGCCCTCGGAGCAACCAGAGATTAAAGTGTGCTGCAATTTCAATTTCAGCACTTGGGAGGCTCCAGCAGGGAGACTGGTGTGAATTTCAGGCCAGCCTGGGGGTGGGGTGGGGGAGTAGGGGTGGTGGCAACAGCACATTTCTGGTGGTCACCCTAGTACCTGGAGCAGGGGCTGTGCTCCTGGGTGGACCCGAGCGCCCCTCACAATACCCAGACAAAAGCTCTTGGCATTCGCGGTCCACAGAAGGAGGTCAGCAACTCATAACTGCCTTTCTGTCGGATTAAGTCATCTAGAAAAGGGTGGCGGTTTCCAAGTTCTCAGAACTACTTTACTCTTGTTTTTAACACGGGGTCCGTTATCTCCTGTCCTAAAAGGCATGAGTCGTAACAGTTTCACCCCGGCCTTATCAGCTCGTCTCTGCCAGAGCCTTCTCTTCACAGCCCTAGAAACCAGCTCCTGAGTGCATCTGCCACGCGTTAGCTTTGGTTTTTAACTACATGCAGCTGTACATAAGCAGGCTGGGAAGATGGCCCAGTGGTGAGAGCACTTGCCGGGCAAGCATGAGGACCCAAGTTCGGATCCCCAGCCACCACACGGTGAAGAGCAGCAGCCAGCATAGCTCCCAAAGGAGAATGTTTTTCAGCTTTTAGAATAAACTAAAATAATGTCTACTTCAATTTTTTTATTGCGCGCGTGCGCATGTGTGTGTGTGTGTGTTTGTGTGTGTGTACACGTGGTCAGAGGACAACTTGCAGGAGTTGGAGGAGTCGGTCCTTTCCTTCTACCCGTGGGTCCTGGGGATTGAACTGAGGACCTGTGGCTTGGTGGCCACCACCTTATCCACCAAGCCGTATTGTGTCTCTTTGAATCAAATTTAGTTTAGTTTAGTTTCGTTTTTCGAGACAGGGTTTCTCAGTGTAGCCCTGGCTGTCCTGAAACTTGTCTTGCAGACCAGGCAGGCCTGGGACTCACAGAGACCCGCCTGGATAAAAGGAGAAAATGAGCTGAGCACAAGCATTCACCTCTCTCTGCTTCCCGTGTTGACAGCTGCCTTAAGTGCCTGCCACCATGGAGGACTGAACTCTCAAACTGTGACCCAAAACAAAATCCTTCCTGCTATTTATTTATGAAGACGAGGTCTCACCATGCAGCTCTGGCTGGCCTGGGACTCACTATATAGGCCAAGCTGGCGTCTAACCAGAGGTCAGCCTGCTTCTGCCTCCTGAGTGCTGAGATTAAAGGTGTGCGCACCCTTCTCCTCTTGAATTTGCTTCTATCAGTTGCCCCCTTTTAGGCCTTAACTTCCTGTATGGACGGCAGAGCCAGGTCTTTCCACTGCACGAACACTGGGGCGCACAGCCACCAACCCCGGAGGCACACACAATCTCAAACACTGGCGCACACAGCCACCAACCCCGGAGGCACACCCAATCTCGCTTTCCCTTCCCCCCTCCACTGCCCTTGCTCAGCTGGGCACCGCACCTTTCTCCGTTACCTGGACACCCATACTCGCTCATCCTGCCCGAGCAACAACACGCACTCAGACCCGAGCACCGTCTCCAGATGTGCTTTCTCCTGAGCTCACAGTTCACAGCTGCAGTCCCGTGCCCCTCCTCAGAGGGTAGGGTCATGACCTCTTCATCTTGGCCTTTCCAGTCTAAGCCACTCACCGGTCCTTTAATCTCCTACCTCTTCCAGTTATTATGGATGTCAGGTATGTCATTTGTTTGATGAGTGGCCTGTCAATCATTTGGCACTGACTTGCTATAAAAAAGACCTTGTTCATGTTGTTTGGGGGGTAATCTGGCACTCATCTAAGAAAAAATACATACATATACACTGTTGTATATATTACATATGTATTCAATATCTACTCAGCCAACTCATTAGTCGTATTTGTTGATAATTCTGCCCAAGACAAGACATGCTGAAGAGGGGCTGGAGAGATGGCTCAGCAGTTAAGAGCATTTGTTGCGCTTGCAAGGGACCTGAGTTCAGTTCCCAGCATCCACACGGTAGCCCACAACCACCAGTAACTTCAGTTCCCGGGAATCCAATGCTCTCTCATCTTCTGACCTCCATGGGAACCAGGCACACTTGTGGTGCACAAACATGAAAGCAAAACAGTCATACACATAAAGTAAAAATGTAAAGATCTAAAAACCCAGACAAATGAAAAGATGCAGGGAAGAGGGGACACAGAGCCCCCTGAGCAGGTTACTTCATGGCCCTCCGCTCTCAAGTAAGAGTTAACGTTTTTAAAGACTTATTCACGGGCTGAAGAGATGACTCAGTGGTTAAGAGCACTGGCTGCTCTTCCAGAGGACCTGAGTTCAATTCCCAGAACCCACATGGTGGCTCACAACTGTCTGTAACTCCAGTTCCAGGGGATCCAACCACTCACATAGATACATATACAGGCAAAACACCAATGCATATAAAAAAAAAAAGAAAAAAAGACTTATTCACAAGTTGGGGGTGATGGTATACACATGCCACAGCAGTGCATGGACATCAGAGGGAAACTTGTAGAAGTGGGTTTTCTCCCTCCAGGACATCTCAGTACTTAGCACACTTGGCTAGCCTAGGCTAAGTATGGAACTCTGTCACCAAAGGACCAAGAAGAAAGAAATATGCTGAAGTTATTCTTGGTAAACCCAAAGGTTTATGTTAATGAGGTGACTTCAGGGGGGTTTGAGGACAAGCATTAGTAACAGAAAAGTCAGTGGCTCAGGGGGTGTCCCATGGCAGCCCCAGCTTCTATAGGCCGTGAAAAAGTCTATCTCTGACCATCTTGACCCCGGCACACACTCCTGCCCTCTGATAATAACTTGAAGGTGACAGCAATGCCGGGGCTCTCAGAAGTGCCTGACCTACTTCTCAGTTGATCACATAGATCTGTATACTCGTGTGTGTGTGTGTGTGTGTGTGTGTGTGTGTGTGTGTGTGTGCCTGTGTGTGTGTGTGTGTCTGACCTTGATGAGGTCAATCTTCTTAGGTGAATTTGGAGTGCAGCTTCCTTTCTTTTTTTAAAAAAAAGTATTTTTATTTCATATGTGCGTTGGTGTTTTGCCTGCATGTATGTCTGTGTGAGGGTGTTGGATCCCCTGGAACATGAGTTACAGATAGTTGTGAGCTGCCATGTGGGTGCTGGGAATCGAACCTGGGGTCCTATGGAAGAGCAGCCAGTGCTCTTAACCCCTGAGTCATCCATCTCTCCAGACCCTACAGTGAAACTTTCAATATAGTCTTTTGTTTTGTGCTTGTTTGAGACAGAGTCTTAACCTCTGAGCCATCTTTGCAGCCCCATCAATACTGTTTTAAGATCTTCAAGAGTTCCTTTAAAAGTGAAAATAGGCATAGTGTGTTGGCACACAC